AATAGTTTTTTCTGACTATATGCTTTATCATTCAGGGTGAGCCATATGAAACCACTCATTATGGTTGGGATTCTGCTTCCTTATGATGGTGAATTCCCTTATCAAGCACACAACACTTTTTATTTTTACTTCTCTCTTTGGTTTGGTATATCATTAGGTAAATTCACATTTTAAACCATCCTACATGCCTTCCATTTTTCTTTAATGAGACACATTTATCAAGAAATTTCAATAAATGATGAAATAAATGAACCATGCTTTACTAAAGAAAATGCAGGAGAATGAGCACCTCTGTGTATGAAGTCTTAAAAGCATTTGGACAAAATCTTTCAATTCCTATTCAAATATAGGATGTAACTGGTGTTATTTATTTATTCAGGTACTTCTATAGTGCAGTCAATTTACGCAGCACTTTACACATATATATTGTACATTCACATCAGTCCCTAACCCTCAAGGAGCGTACAATCTAAGGTCCCTAACTCACATTCATACATACACATATTAGGACCAATTTAGACAGGATCCAATTAACATACCAGCATGTCTTTTGGAGTGTGGGGAGGAAAACCGGAGCACCCGGAGGAAACCCACGCAAGCACAGGGAGAAACATGCAAACTCCATGCAGGAGGTGTTATGGTCGGGAATCAAACCTATGACCCATTTACTGCAAGGCAGACGTGCTAACCACTAAGCCACTGTGCCGCCCTAGTGTTATATGTGTACATAACATGTACAACCCTTTCCCTCCTTAACACTGAACCATTAAAGTGGTAGTAAACCTCAGTCATAAAATATGAATAAAGCACATCCTTCTGTAGCGTGTACTTGTCTCTATCCAAAGCACTGACAGTCTTTTCTCTTTGCTTCCTCACCCCTCTGCTTTCTGCAGGAGTCCCTCCTGACAGGTTTTCCCTACAACAAGAGATAAAAAGTTGATAGGGGAGAGAACTCCAGCACACAGCCTGTAATTGACAGCCACAGCCTCTGTTCCTGTGTGATGTGCAATAGGAGGGTGTGTCGCTACCCTCCAATCAGCTCTCAGATCTGTCCTCACAATGTGTAACTGGAGATCCCTACCCCCTCATGCAGAAGCTGAGAAAAAAAATCCTTTGATCTGTGTGTTTTTAGAATGATCTACAAATAAGTTGGCAGCAGATAAATAGGTAAAACGTTATGCAGGACGATTTGTTTCATCTCTGTGTATCATCTGAGGCCAGTCACTTCACTGGGTATATATAGGTGAGGGTTTTCAAAGCTAGAGATCAGTTTATGCCTAATTCTAATTACAGCATCCTAAGCCATCATACAAAAGAGTATGTAAAAAAGATTGTACCCACAAGGTGTACTCACAGACCTACTGAAGAGCAGAAAAGTGCAATGCCTCTTCTATGTCACCTTAGGTCATGAACAGTGTGACAACGTGCAAGTAAGACATAACCAGGATAAACTCACGGCCCAACAGTGAAACAGAAGGATTTAAAAGACCGTCTGTGACCAGTTCACCATGCGTCCCTGTGCAAGCAATATACTAATGTGAAAATATCAGAAGGGTCACAGACAAACCAACCGCGTAGCAGCCGGGGGTACAAATGATATACAAGTCAGACAGTACCCAGGGTCTCACAAACCAGGCTGGATTTGATTTAAATCAAACTGATTTAAATCACAATTTAAATCACAATTTAAATCACTAGTCAGTAAGGCTGGATGTAAATCCTAGTTTTCTACATAAAGACTAATTCTTGCTGGTATAACTTTAATATCCAAGTAGATGAAGATTTTTAGAATAACAACTTTTCATATTAGTTTTTTTATCCCCCAGTTTAATAGGTTAATCATTCATATTTGGACAACTTTTCTGTTGTACTTAGGAAGGAGAAAAATAATCATTACCTTAATAATAACAATTTAAATAGATTTATTCATCTGAAACAATAACATTCCAGCATATGTGATTTGCTTAAACATCCATGTTTGGTAACTAATTTGGCTAAACAAAATATATACATTTTAAGAAACTTAGACTGTCGGCCCCTCCCTCCTCGCACTGTCGGCCCCTCCCTCCTCGCACTGTCGGCCCCTCCCTCCTCGCACTGTCGGCCCCTCCCTCCTCGCACTGTCGGCCCCTCCCTCCTCGCACAGTCGGCCCCTCCCTCCTCGCACAGTCGGCCCCTCCCTCCTCGCACAGTCGGCCCCTCCCTCCTCGCACAGTCGGCCCCTCCCTCCTCGCACAGTCGGCCCCCTCCTCGCACAGTCGGCCCCTCCCTCCTCGCACAGTCGGCCCCTCCCTCCTCGCACAGTCGGCCCCTCCCTCCTCGCACTGTCGGCCCCTCCCTCCTCGCACTGTCGGCCCCTCCCTCCTCGGCCCCTCCCTCCTCGCACTGTCGGCCCCGCACAGTCGCCCCTCCCTCCTCCCCTCGCGCACAGTCGGCCCCCCTCCCTCCTCGCACAGTCGGCCCAGTCGGCCCCTCCCTCCTCGCACACACAGTCGGTCCCCCTCCCTCCCCGCACACGGCCCCTGTCGGCCCCTCCCTCCCACGCACAGTCGGCCCCTCCTCCCGCACTCCCCACACTGTCGGCCCCTCCCTCCCCACACTGTCGGCCCCTCCCTCCCCACACTGTCGGCCCCTCCCTCCTCACACTGTCGGCCCCTCCCTCCTCACACTGTCGGCCCCTCCCTCCTCACACTGTCGGCCCCTCCCTCCTCACACTTAGTTTCCCTTTCTTCTTGTGCAGATCTATTCCACTCCAAACAATCAGAAAAATATTGTTTCTATTCTATTCACTGAACTTCTTGAAACTTAGCACTGAAGGGGCTGATTCTGTATTTATAGGTTTGTAGAAGTTAGGATGAAGATCTTTTTCTTAGCTCTGTTCATGTTATAACATTTTTGCTGTGAAGAAGAGGCATGTGATCTCCGCTGAGTCAAATTCAGTTTTGAGAACTGCAAAAGTAAACCAATCATCTGTGATAATATCTTGTAGGCAGAGAAACTGCCCAATAATCTTACAGAAACCTCTGGAGAGCGACATTGTGAATGGATTCATGGAATTTATTTACCAAACAAATTAAACATATACAGCCTTATTCTACATAATTAAAAAACTAATCTTTTTTTCATGATGGAATAACCTTTGGATGGTAATATATTTTCCTCAATAAGCATTTTATTCAAAAAAATCCGATTTAAATTAAAAAAATCCGATTTTTTTTTTTTTTTAAAAAAACATTGATTTTTATCCACCCTGTCACAAACTACTGCACAGCAGTAGAATTAATAGCATAGTAGTAATAGCCACTAGTATATATAAAGAGTTTACTACCACTTTAACCAAAACTAGTGGCTACAGGTCAGCTTATGATGAGGCTTACCTGTAGGTACTGTGCACATCCTCTAAACTTGCGCAGTTTAGATTTGCACAGCAGCTACATTTGATGATGTCACTAAAAAACGTGCATCACATAGTTCCATTTTTTACTTTAGTCAACTTTTTTTTTTTTTTTTTAAAGTGCACAAAATGAGCCGTCATGTCTTGCACAGCAGCGCGGTGCGTTGCTCTGCTGTACAGTGACATATGATCCCTTCCTGTACACTGCAAAAAAATGAAGTATGAGACCTGATCACACTCTATTAATTCTACTGCTGTGCGGTAGTGTGTGAGGCCCTGGGTACTGTCTGACTTGTATATCATTTGTACCCCGGCTGCTACGCGGTTGGTTTGTCTGTGACCCTTCTGATATTATCACATTAGTATATTGCTTGCACAGGGACGCATGGTGAACTGGTCACAGACGGTCTTTTAAATCCTTCTGTTTCACTGTTGGGCCGTGAGTTTATCCTGGTTATGTCTTACTTGCACGTTGTCACACTGTTCATGACCTAAGGTGACAGTCAGAAGAGGCATGCACTTTTCTGCTCTTCAGTAGGTCTGTGAGTACACCTTGTGGGTACAATCTTTTGTATGATGGCTTAGGATGCTGTAATTAGAATTGGGCATAAACTGATCTCTAGCTTTGAAAACTTCACCCACATATACCCAGTGAAGTGACTGGCCTCAGATGATACACAGAGATGAAACAAATCGTCCTGCATAAGTTTTACCTGTTTATCTGCTGCCAACCTATTTGTAGATCATTCTAAAAACACACAGATCAAAGGATTTTTTTTCTCAGCTTCTGCATGAGGGGGTAGGGATCTCCAGTTACACATTGTGAGGACAGATCTGAGAGCTGATTGGAGGGAAGCGACATACCCTCCTATCACACCTCACACAGGAACAGAGGCTGTGGCTGTCAATTACAGGCTGTGTGCTGGAGTTCTCTCCCTTGTCAACTTTTTATCTCTTGTTGTAGGGAAAACCTGTCAGGAGGGACTCCTGCAGAAAGCAGAGGGGTGAGGAAGCAAAGAGAAAAGACTGTCAGTGCTTTGGATAGAGACAAGTACACGCTACAGAAGGATGTGCTTTATTCATATTTTATGACTGAGGTTTACTACCACTCTAACCAAAGTGAGTAAAGTGGGTTGGTGAAGTACAGCAATGCCTGGATATATATATTTAAAAAAAAAAAAAAAAAAAAAAAGACCGACTAGGTAGGCTATGATCCCTGCATACATATCAAGGCTGAATTTTCATAATTTTCTTCAAGCACACCACATATTATTGTTTATATTTAAAATGTAGCACTGCTAAAAATTTGACATGGGTTTTTATTAATGCAGTGTACTGTTCTGTCAAGTTAACCCTATATAGGGCCTAAAACACCTAATTCAGGTATTTCATGGGTTATGGTAATTAATTTTCTAAAGAAGCACATCCTGCCCAAAAAAACTATATTTTTTTCACTTGCTGTTATACTGACCTTTGTAAAAATTGCTAAAGGCATTCCATACTTGTCCTCTTCCAGCCCAGATATCAATCCAGGAACAAATACTGCCTGGCCTGCTTTTGACTGGGGCTGAACAGTAATGGGAACACTTCCTGATGTTACATTGTCCTTACTGAGAGTTTCAGATTGCCCTGGACCCATATTCCAAACTTCCCCGTCATCTGTTGTAATACATTCCTCCAGGATGCTTGGATCCAGTGTTTCCCAGTCACTCTCAGTAGATTCAGGAGATGTATGAGACGGAGGCTTCAGATGCTCAACACTGCCATTTAGGTCTACTCCAGACTCCAACACTGGTCTTTCCGATTTGTTGTCCTCTAAAAAATGGTTGTTTTCAGTTTCAATGCTCTCATCTTTGGAATTAGGGCTTTCGGAGGAAGTTGCAGGAATATAGTCCTGAGATGTTGGAGTTGAAGAGAACATTCCTTCATCTGTAATGCTCTGTCGGGGTCTGTACTGAGAACTGTCCGTGAGTCCATGCTCAATCATGCCTTTATGATAAAAGAACAAATTTAAAAAGGAAAAAATAAATCTAGATTAAAAGCATCATTTTTTTTGGTGTAATTCTTGATTTATAACCACACAAGAGCATGTATATACAAGTAGAGAAGGTCATATCTAGAAAGAGAAGGCACAGTAAGGGATTACAAAAAAAACAAAACAAAAAACAAAAAAAAATCTAAAAACTAAAATTTTACAAGAGATGTAGGAATCACAACATGCTGTAGGTGATCTAAGCAAGACCTAAAACAGATCTGACACTGTACAAGCCCTGAGTGTTTGTTTTTAATTGTCATGAAGAAGATGTTTATAGTAGTGGTAGTGGGGGAGAAAAAAGGAAAAGAGAAAAAGAAAGACAAAAAAAGGGCAGGATGGGGTACAGCAAGGAGCCACCTCACCCTCGGGGGCATCAGATTGGTTGAGTGTGGAGTCCCCTGTCAGGGGTCCCCAGCTAGCCGGGCCTGATCATCAGAGAAGATGTACAAACATAACATTTAAGAATGCAGGAGGGGCAGATAATCATTCTAATACCATCTCACCTGGGAAAAGTGATAAGACAGTCAT